TGTTGCTAAAAGAGTGCTGTCATCAATTGGATGATCAAAGATGCAGACGACAACGGGATCGATGGCAACAATATGCGTGTCATTACAGCGTTCCCGGCAGAATTCCGTGGCGAATACAAGGTATGTCCTCAATTATGCTATGCATTTAACAATGCCTTATGCTAGGCAAACCATTCTAAAGCTACGCGCTGGTGGAAAATGCGCGCGGAGGTTGAGAAGTATGCAGCATCGACCCAGTTATTGCGTCCGGGCCGAAGAGGTTGAACGTCAAAGCGGCTTCTGGCAGAGGCCGCCGGCGCGCTGATTGGGTTACGTACGTATACGCTGAATTGCTCTCGGAATTCCATCGGTTAAAATCTGCTGGAGTCAAGTTCTCCCCTGCTCTCCTTGTTCAGCTGGCACGCATGGTTGTGGACAACGCACCAGCTGAAGAACCCTGGGAAGCGATTCTTCTTGGAGCTGGCTTCAAAGACAGTTCGCGCTATGAATGGTATGCGTGATATTGCTGGCCTTACCTATGCTCGAAAGGCTATGATTCGGTGCGGCATGGCTTGGACGTTTGCGGTCGGTGGCACGAAGGACAATTGTCAATGGAGCTACAGGAAATTGTCAAAAAGCATCGAGTTCATTTCAATGGTACCGTGGTTGATGTACCAGTTCCAAAGTGAGGTTACTTAGTGTAATAGTTGCCCGCTAATACATGTTTATACTTGCAGTTGACTGTCCGCACTAATTCTCCACATTCAGAAATAGTGCGGTCCTTACTAATTATCCAAGCACATAATTAGTGCGGATTGGAATATAGTGCGGTCCGCACTAATATATGTGATGGGGGTCCAGCGACCAGGTTGAAAAATAGTGCGGTCCGGACTAATTACGGTAAACGGTGTAGTGATTCCAATTGCCCCTCATTCAACAAACGACACTAACCACGTTCTCCAGCTCTGCATATCCACTTACTTTCGCAACGTGAACCACTGTACTTGTTAGCACACAGTGTTTACAAGCAACCCCACTGCTAGCATCTGCACAGTGGGGATGTTTATAACACTAACTGTGACCTCCCTTCAATGTATGCCCCCTTCCACCACAACACTAAATAATCATATTTTCAATACTACAACTACTAAGATCACTTATATTGTTGCGAGCGACCTCACAGGTATCACAAAACACTCATCACAGAGTTGATTGAGACGACGGGAAGTAATTACGAGCTCACAAACTTACCTATTCTATGGCGTCAAACTCGTGCACCAGTGAGTTATCATTGTAAATCTAGAAGTGCACATGTACTCCAGCGGTAGGGTTCTTTACAGTGAATGGTCACGCTCGCGACGATGTCCACGGAGTGTTTACTGTACTTCGGTATCGTTGGCGGAACAAGCATGCCTGATGAGTGGCTTGTGTTGCGCAAAGTATCCAAGGTAATCCACGTAATATTGAACGTACTATAATAGTACGTGTACAGTGTAACTTTAGCCCCCGCCAGCAAACAGGACTCTTTACGTCGATACGGAGTACATTCGAAAAAATAAAGATACTTTACTTGGTCGTTGTATAGACATGGAAGAGACATCTGCCAATGAAAGCCAATAGGCGTCTACTTTTAACCAATCAGATTGTTGTCGGATATATATATTTTGGTTTTACGAAACATGCTTATCCGGAAGATAATTGCCACATTTGCAGTGCAGGTCGCCGCCACCCTCGTGTCCGTGCGGCGATAGCAACGAGGGCAACTTGCAACACAGGAACGGCGCTGGATGGTGGAGACAGCAGAAAGATGGCTCCACCATCCAACACCACCCCAGCGTCCTCCAAGCCCAACGCAATAGTGCCAACCATCAACCTTCTCGTTCGACACTGATTCGCTCAGCGATTCGATTGAACGGGGTCCGGAAATTCATACCGAATCTCCAATACATGTTTGCACTTTCACCCATCTCCTTCCATTCTACCACTAGTAGTGCTACACCCTCTACGTAGTACATGTAGGCGCTTGTGTGTGTTGGTGTACATTTGCTTTGGAATCGATTGCGACGCCCTGCCTCACAATCACACTTGTTTCTTGGGGGGATTGTGGCCATATCCATAGTCCGAGTTGGTAGGTTCATGACCAGTGCGTGGGAATTAAGGCGTTTGCAAATGGAAAGTGGACATGCCACATGAGGCATGTTCGGAAATCGAAAACCCCTCACGAAGTTGCCGTTAAAAAATAACTGTGTCGTTGCGTGTGTGCATCCGAGCGGGTTAACATACATACAATTCCCTCATTAATATAGCCCCACACCTGTCAAGTGGTGCTTTTCCCTCGCCTGTGTTCACGCCTTTTGTCCTCGCCTATCAAGTTTCCCAAACTCTATCGCCTAGTCTATCAGCTCTGACAGGCCGAGATAGTGGCCGCTTAATACCTGCATGTTCTGCATATTCTTCATGTCGCAACCCTACCTTAGTAATTGCTCACCCAATCACGGCTCTAGCACAAGGAAAAGACCGCTGATTCTCACAGGTCAGTGTTTCCCTTTGGCTGAGTTTTAGTCAATAGGAACGAAGCTAGATAGTTTGTAAACGACTGAATGTCACTTTTGGTTTTCCCCTGTCCCGCACACTTGGTTTGTCTTGGACACTCTGCGCAAAGTTGCTACACGCCTATCACCCACGCCTACCTCCTGTTTCTTGCTTCGTGACACTTTTCACAAAATTTTCTGACTTCTATTTCATTTTCATTACTCAAAATTTCAGCAAATTATCGACAGATCTCAATGTGCAATGGGAGGTTAAAGGTCCCAACTGCCTCCGGATATTATATACGGATAATAGTCACATACAAAAAGCAAGATACATCTCAGCGGCCACCCCTATGCCCAAATATCCAAGCGCCCATACAGCTAGATTAAATATCTATTTCTGGACCTATTCATCACCAAATTTGAATCTAAGACGTAGAATTTCTTCACCTGCGCCATACTATTAATAGTAGTAGGTGGTTAGCTACAGTACAGTACAGTACAGTACTGCCTAATTCATTTATTTTAACTCAGGGCCGGGAGCGTAGCGAATGAGGCCCGTTCGCCCGCGCAGCGACTCAGTATAACAGCAATGACCTATCTAATGTTTGGGAGCACCGGAGGCCGGGAGCGAAGCGAACCAGGCCGAGGAGCCCCCTACATATTTCCGGTTAATTAACCGGATGTTTCGTAAAAATTGTTATTGCCATATATCAAGGTTACATCATCTGATTGGACATAAAAGCACCAATAGGAAGAGTACATGAGACAAAGACGACGACGATTGCAGTCGTGGACGTGTACGGACAGTAGATCGCTTTATTCACAACACAATTACATTGTACGTGATTTACAACACAATTGTCTCCGGCTGTGGAAGCGCCTTTCAAATGAACGTCGAATGAGATCACATGGTAATTCGTCCGAGAATTGAATGGTTCGTTGTATCATCGCCATACGCTTTTCAGCGGCAGTGACAAGAGGCTTCTCTGTAAGCCATTGCTTGCGCATCTTTTTCTTCACCAGTCCCAGACACCAACGTCCAGAGGCTGGCACACACTTGTTGAGTTCTTCGGTAGAGGCTGCACACAGAACAACTCCGACGGCAGTCCAAGTTGTCAGCAATGATGACAGACGGACTGTTGATTTCGAACTTGAACCGCTCGGTCAGGTACATCTGCCAAATTGTCTTGTCAATCCATGCACTCCTCCTGTTTCTTGCTACGTGACAGGTTATGAGCCCTCCTGTTTTGACCATTATCGCCTACTCCGGCATTCTTGTCGACGACGCCTACAAATTCTATGCTGCGTGGCGCACCACGCTTGAAGAAGCGGCCGCGACCGGAGGCTACTTCTCCCTTTACACCATCGAGACCTACTGCCCTAAGCGCATCGAAACCGACGCCTGCACTATCGGCCAGGCCAAGCTCCATGTGGAAAAGATCCACAACGATGCAAAGTACTGCACCGACGGTTATGCTGGTGACGCCTTAGAAAGCACCTTGCATTGGTGAAACGCCTCGAACAAGACTTCACGCGCAAGTTTATGGATGAGTATATCGCGTAGTCCCTCGCTGCCCTACGCGTAGGCAATTCTTTTAAACTCTCTCACGCCTATCCTCCAAAATATCATCGGATCCCACGCCTCCCCCTTCGCTCTCTGGGTCGCACTTATGGTACGCCATGAAGCAGGCACCCGCGACCCCATGATCCTGTTTGCGAGTCTCACTCAACTCAAGTACAGTGAGGACATCAGTGCGGATACACTCTTCACTACTCTCGACGATCAGATCAATTTCATCGAAACGGCTACCCTCCCTGCGAACGCCGACACTTTCACGGCTCGCGAAGGTCATGTAAAGACCTTTGAGCTCTTTCGAACTCTTTTCTACTCTAACGCCTTTGCCGACAACAAAGACGTGTGGGACACCGTTTGCCAGCTCCAATTCAAGGCGCGCGAGGATGGCTCTGAATAGACCTCTAACCCAGTGACTCGATGACTGACTAGACACAAAGTAGTTTTTCATATTCTCATCATTCAAATAGAGTGCATTCAAACTGACAAATACCCAACAGTTCGCCAAAAAAGTAAGATGTTTTTGTAATGTAGTGACCCTTTTCCAAAAAGAGATCGAGGTATTTCCAATTGTCAATATTGAAGAAATCCGATTTCTTACCTAATTGCATTACTTTGTAAGGTAATCCAATGATGTGTGGCGAGCTTTAACTAATAAAATTCATTACATTTGACTAAAACGTAGACAGAATTGCACAAATTCAGTGCACATGCCTAGGTAGAACAAAATCCTAAAAAGCACCCATTTTTTATTCCACTAAGTTGCCACGTTGCAAAACCCAGTTAACAGTAACTTCCTCTGTTTCACATTACTTTTACGATATGGAAAAATCACTTTTTTCACATTACTATGAACAAATGAATACTATTGGATCATTTAGGAAAATAATGATCCTATTGGTCAAAACTTCGTAGCCTACAAAATCAGCGACACAGGGCAGGACACATTCGACATCAGGAGACCAGCACGTCTCAAGGCTGCCTTCTTGAGGTGTGGCAAGGCGAAGTGGCTGTCTCCGCTGTGCTCGAGGACCAAACGCATCACTGTCTGGAAGGTGAGAAACACGCTCTCCAGCTTGTCGTACGTTAGCTCGTCGAATACCTCCATGGTGTTGCGGACGACGTCATCCACCGTCCGACTCATCTTCTTGTACTGCAGGCTTTGGATCGACGCGAAGAAACCTAAGTCCAGGACATTCAGGTCGGGGCTGTTGGAGGGTTGTTTACGCATCTTGAACGTCCACCCGTCAGTCGACACGCTCTCGAGCACTGCGTCCGTGATGCTCCCGTGCGGAGTCGCGTTGTCGTGCTGCAAAAGCACGCGCTTGGTGGCGCTGGGGAACGACGCCTTGATGGCAGGTACGACCTTGTTGATGACGAAGTCACGGTACACAGCGGCATCAACATTCACCAACTTGGTGACCATCGTCCCAGCTGGACGATTACGTGAGTTGCGCAACGCAGGGACAAGGCGGACGAATGGCCACATTCCAATCTTGCCGTTGAACACAACACTCCGGTCGCCGTTAATCCGTGGCCGAGCAACAGCGCCAAGGAACATGACCTTGGGAATGAAGCGCTTGCTCTTCCACGAGCGCCGTGGCGGCGCTTCACCAGGGACAAGGTACACCTTGCGACGGTCTTTGTCAGCGTTGAACCATTTCTCATCCATTTGAACCACGTCCCATAGGTGTAAGGTTGTAAAATGCAACGCGTTCTTCCTTGTTGGAGTCCGTTAGCAGAAGTTTGATCCGCGTCGACCGTCGTTCGAGCGTTCCCTTCTTCAGGTGACGGTTCAAAGTGGCAGGGGACAGACGGGTGGCTGCGGCAAGGTCGCTGAAGGTGGAGCGTTGATCGACTGGGACCGCTTGCACGAGTTGTTGGACATACTCGGCGGTGTAGGCTCGTTTGGGTCCAACCTTTCCCTTTTTTTTGGTCGCCGTGGTGCCGCGATCGCGGAACGTACGCCAGATGTAGCCGACGGTGCGGGGGTCCAAGTTCAGTTGCTCGGCGACATGCTTGTATGCACCACGCTGCAGTTTGTCCTTGCGGAGGAAGGGGTGGAGGTGCTGGATGACCGTCACTTTTTCATCGCTAGATAGCTCTCGGCGCGTGCGTACGACTTCATTGTCCATGGTGGCAAATTCAAATATGATACGGTTTGAGTATGTGGTGTAATTTTATTCGGGTGGTTGAGATTTCGGGGCGATTTTTGGCCACGAATTTCTCTCCTGGCGCTTGGCAGCCAATACATCGCACCTGTAGTTTTTTATGGGCTTTAAAAAATGATATTCTATATCGAAAATGGGTTAGAAATAAATTTTTGGGGTCGATGAGAAGTCGTAACGACACAGTAATGTGAAACAGAGGAAGTAACTGTAAGTTGCATCATTTAAGTGGTTAGCGAGTAGACCTCAGTCAGAGCATGACTAGACCTCTTGACGAATGATCAAGGCGCCAGCTTTAAGCACGCCTTGTATAATGTTGTAAGCCTTGACTAAGTGCCATTTCGTTTTTTGGTGATATTCTTGAGATGAGTAACAACAATGAAGTCTACGATCATGCGTGCCACTCGCAAAATAGATTAACGACGTGGTTGTTGTCTGAGGAGTCTATTTCGGTTAGTAATGAGGTATTCTGAGGGAATACTTTCACAACTGTCGTGTTTTGGTCAATTTCGTGTTTCACCAAAGTATATCACCGTCACAGTCATCCACACTCATGACTTCAATTGTCATGAGATTCTGTTCAGGTTCACCCAAAGTTCTATTTTCGGGGTTGCGGGGTTTATTAGGAGATTACTGAACGTTCTTCTGACCAATCAGTGTTCTTGGAAAACATCGAGTGATTTCCGAAAATAGTGAACGACTGATAAATCATTAACCGTACACGAGATGATCGAGGGACCAATCCCATAATCGATCGCTGCAAAAATGACTCGGTCATATATTAGTATCCGGATGTCTGACCAGTCATGAAAGTCCATCCAAAAACACATGGGTGTACTTGGAATGTAATTGGCCACTGACTGGAGGCTTGATCATACGTCAAGAGGTCTAATGCACGCCTACTACCATCGAGGCTACTATTCGCCACACCTTAAACATCGCCTCTCGCCGCAATCGAATCCTCTCGGATCAAGGCTCCGGTGACTCCAAATCCCGTCGACACCAAGTTGCTGCTGCTGCCACCTACACTACGCCTCCAACCGCCTTGTACGCTACGTCTTCCACTTCCCAACCTCCGCCTGCCTATACTGCTGCTGCTGCCCCTTCTTACGAGTCACTGTCACGTTGGGCACACTCGAACTGTCACAACTATACTTTCAATTCCTGCTTCTACTGCGGCTCGCCTGAACACCGCCTTCCTGACTGCCGCATCATGCGCGATGATGACAGTCGAAACCGCATTCGTGCCGGCGTTCCCAAGCACGTTGTTGACACACACTGCCGTCGGAAACGTGCATCGTCTCGCAAGATCATTGACGATCATACGCAGCATCATCGCCGCGACCGTGAAGACATGGGAACGATCAGGGTCCCAATATCCCAAGTGCCATCGTGACGACTCTCGACCGCCTCCCTGAACTTCTACTCGTCGATCGCCTCCACGTTCCTCGCAGCGAGGTCGTTCTTCCGGCCGCTCCTCTCGAGCTCATCACCGCCTTTCTACCCCATCATCTACCAACCACTCCCACTTAAGTCGTAGCCGCCCCATATCCCCTCCTTTCTCCGCTTATCCACGCTTTTCGTCACCCACCCGTCGTGCTTGTTCATGGCCTCCTAAACGTCGCGCTTCTCCAAAGACTACCTCGCGACGAAGAAGAACGACGACAGAGCGTATGACAACCTCATGCGACTTTGCCAACATTTCTCAGCACGATAACGCTTCTTTCAGCGCGTTCCGTGCGTGAGCAGACTGACGCAAGCCGTACTGACAGAAACACGTGACAACTTTGCAGCGTCCTTCTGGGAATGGTTCCGCGAGACAGCGCCAGGTGACACCATCAATGTTGATGAAACCGCTGTCAACTATGCCATATGGGAAGACACTTGCACCATTTGGTGGATCGTCCAAAGTGTACAAGTCAGAAAAGCATTCTGATATGATGACGGCTGTGTTATCGATCAGTTCAAATGGTATGAAAACATTGATGTTTGTGTTCTAACTTCTGCTAGGGGGGCAACTTCCGATTCTTCAACGGCGAGCCAGGGGGCAAGTTTTTGAAACCGAAGAAGTGCCGACTTATCCATCTGGACATGTCTATACTGTTCAGCAAAATGCATGGATGGACAAGACAATTTGGCAGATGTACCTGACCGAGCGGTTCAAGTTCGAAATCAACAGTCCGTCTGTCATCATTGCTGACAACTTGGACTGCCGTCGGAGTTGTTCTGTGTGCAGCCTCTACCGAAGAACTCAACAAGTGTGTGCCAGCCTCTGGACGTTGGTGTCTGGGACTGGTGAAGAAAAAGATGCGCAAGCAATGGCTTACAGAGAAGCCTCTTGTCACTGCCGCTGAAAAGCGTATGGCGATGATACAACGAACCATTCAATTCTCGGACGAATTACCATGTGATCTCATTCGACGTTCATTTGAAAGGCGCTTCCACAGCCGGAGACAATTGTGTTGTAAATCACGTACAATGTAATTGTGTTGTGAATAAAGCGATCTACTGTCCGTACACGTCCACGACTGCAATCGTCGTCGTCTTTGTCTCATGTACTCTTCCTATTGGTGCTTTTATGTCCAATCAGATGATGTAACCTTGATATATGGCAATAACAATTTTTACGAAACATCCGGTTAATTAACCGGAAATATGTAGGGGGCTCCTCGGCCTGGTTCGCTTCGCTCCCGGCCTCCGGTGCTCCCAAACATTAGATAGGTCATTGCTGTTATACTGAGTCGCTGCGCGGGCGAACGGGCCTCATTCGCTACGCTCCCGGCCCTGAGTTAAAATAAATGAATTAGGCAGTACTGTACTGTACTGTACTGTAGCTAACCACCTACTACTATTAATAGTATGGCGCAGGTGAAGAAATTCTACGTCTTAGATTCAAATTTGGTGATGAATAGGTCCAGAAATAGATATTTAATCTAGCTGTATGGGCGCTTGGATATTTGGGCATAGGGGTGGCCGCTGAGATGTATCTTGCTTTTTGTATGTGACTATTATCCGTATATAATATCCGGAGGCAGTTGGGACCTTTAACCTCCCATTGCACATTGAGATCTGTCGATAACTTGCTGAAATTTTGAGTAATGAAAATGAAATAGAAGTCAGAAAATTTTGTGAAAAGTGTCACGAAGCAAGAAACAGGAGGTAGGCGTGGGTGATAGGCGTGTAGCAACTTTGCGCAGAGTGTCCAAGACAAACCAAGTGTGCGGGACAGGGGAAAACCAAAAGTGACATTCAGTCGTTTACAAACTATCTAGCTTCGTTCCTATTGACTAAAACTCAGCCAAAGGGAAACACTGACCTGTGAGAATCAGCGGTCTTTTCCTTGTGCTAGAGCCGTGATTGGGTGAGCAATTACTAAGGTAGGGTTGCGACATGAAGAATATGCAGAACATGCAGGTATAAAGCGGCCACTATCTCGGCCTGTCAGAGCTGATAGACTAGGCGATAGAGTTTGGGAAACTTGATAGGCGAGGACAAAAGGCGTGAACACAGGCGAGGGAAAAGCACCACTTGACAGCCACCAGTTTTCTCATGCCGAAAAATGGGCACGCGTTTGAACGGGCAGCAGGGCTCACAAACAGAGCAGAAAGCAGACACACGTCACCATGATGGAATATGTAGGCGTGAAAAGTACAAGTAGAAGAAGAGACTTAAGTGGAAGGAGAGAAAAGTAGAAGGAAATGCACAAGGCAAATAGAGGTTAGGCATAGTAGGCGTAGATGGTAAGGCGTGGATGGTAAGGCGTAGATGGTAAGGCGGAATAAGATAGAAAAATAGTAATAAGTGCGGGAGGCGAAGATGATTTAGATTTGCTTAGGCGTTGACTGTAAGGCGTAGTAAGAGAGGAACGAAAGAAAGAATGTGGGTGGTAGGCGTAGACGGTAAGGCGTAGAAACAGAAAATCGAAGGAGTAAGGTAGGCGAAGAGGAGAGAAGTAAAAAATATTGGGGGTGTAGGCGACGATAGGCGCTGACAAAGAGAAGAAAAGAGTAGAAAAAAATATGGAGATATAGGCGACTATAGGCGCTGACGAAGAGAAGAAAATAAAGTGAGATCGGATAGGCGGGAAGGCGTAGAGTAGAGTTGTGAATAAAAAAATGTATTGATAGGCGTTTGAGATCACGTAGTGAAGGCGGAGAGGGGAATGATGGAGAGGCGTGATCGTAGATCGGCAAAGGCGGGGGCCGGAAGAGGTTTGGTGAAGAAGTCAGCAAGTTGGTTGCCAGAGCTGCACCACTTGAGCTGGAATTCACCGGAGTCCACAAGGTCACGTACAAACATGTAGCGGACGTCGATGTGCTTTGAACGGCCGTGAAGTTCGGCGTTGGTAGCGATCTTGATGGTAGACTGGTTGTCTTCATGGACCAGGACGGGTTGGTCGGACGTTTTTTGGAGTTCAGAGGCGAGTTGACGTAAATAGAGCAGTTCTTGAATGCATAAGGCGAGGGCAACGAACTCAGCTTCCGTGGTGGACAGAGTGACGAGGGGCTGCTTCTTGGCAAGCCACGACACGGGTGAGCCGAAAAAGAGAGTAAAAAATCCACTGATGCAACGTCGAGTGTCAACGCACATAGCATAGTTTGCATCGACGTAGGCGGGTAAGAAAGGAAAGTCGTCAATAGAGGCGATACCACCAAGGCGCATGCCATAAGTGCGGGTGCCTTTGAGATAACGAAGGGCACGTTGGACGGCAGACCAATGAGTAGGTCCAGGGTTGTGGAGAAACTGACAAGTTGTTGGAGAGTGTAGGCGAGATCAGGACGAGTGCCCATAGCTAAGTGCATGAAGCTGCCGACGACAGAGCGATAGTTCTTGCCGATCATAAAGGCGAAGTCGTGAGGCGTCGTCGCGCAATGGGAGGCAGATAGAGTGAGGCTGGGGTTAAAAGGCGTCGAAACTGGGTTGCAGTTCACCATGTCAAAGCGGTCCAGGATGGCTTCGGCGTAGCG